AACAAACACATGGTGCCGTCAGAAGAGGACGCGACGTGAATTTACGTTTAAAATAAAAACAACGGAACGAGTGGCACTCGATCGAGGGGTTCGCGTCTGTCGCGGAGGTTCGTGGTTCGAATCCGTTGGGCCACCCTGGTTAATTCCGCGTCTTCACCGCTACATACCCAGCCGCTGTCTGCTTCACCCACAGCGGACGTTGAAGACCCCCCCCCATGACGTCATTCGGAACGAGCAGTCGGTCACCTGTGTGCGGCGACGTCACGGAGCAGATTTGAAAAGCGACCCATTCGTGGGGGGCCACAAATGGGTCACAATTTGATTCGACACAGCGAAGTCGCCCCCCACTGTGACACCGCCACAGGCAGTGTCTGTGAAGCAGAGAGCAGCGCTTTACGTTTGTGCTTTTATGTTTCATGAAACATTTTCTGTAAAATTTTTCACGTTTAATTTTATTTTTTATGTTTATTTTTTATGTTTAATTTTATTTTTCATGTTAATTGTTTATGTTTAACTAGATTTTTTATGTTAAATTTAACGTTTAATTTGTATTTATTTTATTTTAATTTAATTTTTATTTTCTATCTCCGTGACTTTACCGAAATAACCAAAGACTAAGAGAGCAGTGGCCACGCTTCGTGGTGATCGCCTCTGCGCTACCGGAGCATCGCGAACACCAAACGAATACCACACGAATCACAAATTGTTACATTCATTGCAGAGAGACAGAGAGCACGGCGGGCCAATCAATGCCCCGTTACCAACACCGTCCCAACAAAGACGGCGTCTGATGCACACGGTCAAACACGGTCAAACTTCTTTCGCACCGTACGTAGCCAACCGTGCTAATCGGAGGGTGATTGAGTGCTATGTGAGTGCGTGAGTGACTATGTGAGTGGGTGAGTGACTATGTGAGTCTATGCACGTATTTATGTTGAACTTCTTTCGCACCGTACGTAGCCAACCGTGCTAATCGGAGGTGTGCCGGGTTCAGCTGGCAGGCATGAATATGCACCACCACTACCGCCACCACCGCTACCACACAAAAAAGAATTAAGCTTTCCCAAGTGCAGATCGCAGATTAGGCTGTCAGACGTGTTCCCCATTAAGCTGTCCGACCACCTGCAGTTATGCACGAGCCCACTGCACATTCGGACCGCAAAGGAAAACATTTTGTTGAAAAAATAAAATAATAAACCCCCGACGATATTAATTCCCTCGGGGGACATTTTTTGAAAACATGTTTTATGGGGTTTTTTTTTCAATTGACGTTTTTTTTGCATTCCAACCGGAATCGTTGTTCACTACGCGCGGAGTCGCCGGGTAAAATCTCATGCGCCAACTCGGGAGGTATCGGAGATAGAGAGAGAGTTTTCAGTTTTCAGTTTCATTTATTAGGTATAGCCCTGTGAGCCTTTCGGCTCTTGAATCGGTGCAACCGCAACAAACCAAAAACATGAACAAGAAAACATCTTAAAGTGACTATGTGACTATGCGCAAACAGAAAAATCCAGGAAAAAGCACCGTACACCAACGCTGTGTGCAAAAATCCCAGTGGGATGCAAGTCAAACAACAACCACAACAACAACCACAAGACAACTTAGATGAAAGCCATCAGTCTAACTCCGTACTACAACAGAGAGCGAGTGGCGTCGATTCTCGGCATGCGCCGATGAAGGTACAGAGTGTCCGCCAAGTTCGCACTTTAGATGACTCTGCGCCACGTTGGCTAGCAGATGTTAACTACCTCGCCTGGTATGCAGGAGGTCGTGGCTTTGATGGTTCACGCAGACAGGATTCCTTGCAAAAGGCTTCTGTTTGGTGTTTTGACATCTTAACACAACTGTTTTGTTGCCAGCAATGGTCAAACTTATTCTTACATGTATATTTGGAGTTTGCATGCCTCTCTCTCATCATCATCACGGTGGCTAGGAGATGTTAACTACCTCGCCTGGTATACAGGAGGTCGTGGGTTAGATCCTGACCGTGACGCCTGCTGCATATTTGGAGTTTGCGTGTCTCTCTCTCTCTCTCTTTCCCCGTGGTCGCGTGGATTTTTCTCCGGGTCCTCAGTGTGTTCCCCTTCACATTTGGAATCAGTGTCACACGTTTAGAGCATTTGGCTGCTAAAAACTTCCACACAATGATAAACCACTTCGTTGAGCTATCATTTGTCGTCAGGTCGCTTCTGAAAGAGAGCTACGTATCTCAGCGGGCCTATAGCTGGTAAAATAAAACAAAGTTTAGTTTTAGTTTAGCAGAGGTTCTGAAAGCACGGATAATGGAGAAATGTGCCAAAAATGTGAACACATTCCTGCGGAGGGAGTTGGTAGGAACGTTGGGTTGCTTGGTCAATGGCCAGGGTCAACGGCGGCGTGGTGTATTCCGCAAATATGGCCGACTGTGAGGGCGGGCACAAGCCGGCGTGAGTAGGTTAAACGTTGAGTTTTATAAGGGCACCACGGGGTGACCAGCCCCTCCCCACCCAGCCCCACCCCTCCCACTCCCCACCCAGCCCCACCCTCCCCACCCAGCCCCTCCCCACCCTCCCCACCCAGCCCCTCCCTCCCCACCCAGCCCCTCCCTGCACGACGGACACAATAATCCCGTGTGCGCTGGTGTAACCAGGAGGTTCCTACCAGTATAACGCTCAATGAGTAAGGGACCAGTGCCGAAACGTCCGCAGTGGCATTGACGAATGGCATTGAGATGTCCTTTGCGTCGGGCCACGTTGCTCCGCCGTGTCTGCCGCAGCGCGCTTCAGGTCCGCCGGAGCGGTGGCAGAATCCGTGGAATGAACGTAATGAACGAGCGGCTGCTCGTTATTCGAGAACCATCAACAGCAGCAGAACGTCGCCGGCAGGCCCGATGCGCCACGTCTCCTTCGCGAATGGAAAATTAAAGACGTGAAACTTGATTCGGAGCTTTCGTGACTGCAGGCTCTTTCGGTAAAGTCACGTAAGAAGAAAAATAAATTAAATAATAGCATACGACTTCTCGATTGCAACACAATCATCATCAGGTACGAATGAATGATAAAACAAACATAGTAAACTTAGAAATATAATACAATACAACACAGAGAGTCGGCTAACACAAGTCAACACCCTACCTGGTTGATTACGTTCTTCCAAAGATTGCTAAATTTGAGAGAGACAAAACACAGACACGGAGACACACAGACAGACAGGTAAACAGAGAGAGAACACACACAGAGAGACACACAGAAAGAGACACACAACATAGACACACAGAAACACACACAGAGAGACACACAACATATACACACAGAGAGAGACACACAACATAGACACACAGAGACACACAGAGAGAGACACAAGCAGAGAGAGATAACACAGAGACACAGAGAGACACAACATCGACACACAGACAGACACAAGTAGAGAGAGACACACAACATAGACACACACAGACACATACATAGACACACAGACAGACACACAAGCAGAGAGAGAACACACACAGAGACACACAGAGAGAGACACACAACATAGACACAGAGAGAGATAACACAGAGACACACAGAGAGAGACACACACATAAGTAGGGTGTTGATTGTTATGTTAGCCGACTCTCTGTGTTGTATTGCATTATATTTCTAAGTTTACTAAGTTTGTTTCATCTTTCATTCGTACCTGATGATTACTTGTGTTGCAATCGAAACGTCGTCTGCTATTAGTTAATTATTTTTCCTTTCTACGTGACTTTACCGAAAGAACCAAAGAGTAAAGACATTGTGGCCATGCGACACGAGCTACGCACCACGCCGTAGACCAACCGAGGCTCTGCTCCTTCAATGCCCACACCAACTCTCTCCCGAAGTCATCTCTCCACAGCTAGCAGGCCTCGACATTTGCGTGGCGAGATGTTAACTACCTCACCTGGTGTACAGGAGGTCGTGGGTCCGATCCCAACCCTGACGCCTGCTGCTGCTGCTGTACATTTGGAGTTTGCGTGTCTCTCTCCTCGTGCTCGCGTGGACGTTTTTCCCTCCACACTCAGCAACACGCGTTTAGAGTATCTGGCTGCTATACATTTGCACGTGATAAGCCACTTCGTTGAGCTATCATTTGTGGCAGCAAGGTCGACTTCTAAACAGGAGCGAGATAGGTCAGTGGGGCCTTACCTGGTAAAATAACGTAAGTAGTTTTTCTTTATAGTTTCATATTGCCATGCGCAAGGACATACTGTTTGTGCGCAAGCCGTTGGAAAGGTTGCGGTGTCTTCATTCCGATGCCTCCTCCATGCCGCGCCATTACAAGTCGCTGCACCGACTACGAGACGGATACACCCAGTTCGTGTGAAGCGGATTACAATGATGACGATGATGATGATTCCACTTGGAGGTGAGTGTACGCTCGCTACAACCTACAAATGCAGAGTGAGATCATTCCACTTGGAGGTGAGTGTACGCTCGCTACAACCTACAAATGCAGAGTGAGATCATTCCACTTGGAGGTGAGTGTACGCTCGCTACAACCTACAAATGCAGAGTGAGATCATTCCACTTGGAGGTGAGTGTACGCTCGCTACAACCTACAAATGCAGAGTGAGATCATTCCACTTGGAGGTGAGTGTACGCTCGCTACAACCTACAAATGCAGAGTGAGATCATTCCACTTGGAGGTGAGTGTACGCTCGCTACAACCTACAAATGCAGAGTGAAGATCATTCCAATCAATCAAATTACGGGCAGGATGAGCGACTTGCCGTTGGTGTTCATCGGAGTCGTCCGACCATACTTCACCACTCGGGGCATCGCTTGCCAGCCGACGTTGTCCCGTGCTGGGAGTTGAACTCGGGACGCGCGACAACAACCAACCAACCAACCCCCTCTCGGCCATTCCAGGAAACAACATCAATCTCTAAAATCATTATACATCACTCGGGCTCGCGTGCGTGCGAGGGTAGCGCCCCTGGGCATTCCTGGCAGCGCGAGTGTTGAGAGTTGGGGAGCCCCCATTCGCGTGGCTCGCAGTTCCAAGCTGTTCCACGCCGGTGACCTCCTCCATACAGGCCGCGGGCACAACAAGCTGCCGCTGCTGCCGCTGCTTCTTCTGCTGCCTCTCGTGTACAAGCCGTGACGCACGGAGGAACGCGACTCGTGTTTCCTCCGGGTCAGTCCAGTCACGTGAGAGGGTGCGCTGCGGTGACTAGGAGATGTTGACTACCTCGCCTGCTCTATACAGGAGGTCGTGGGTTCGATCCAGAGCCTGACGCCTGCTGCTGTATATTTGGAGTTTGTGTGTCTCTCATCATCATCACGGTGACTAGGAGATGTTGACTACCTCGCCTGCTGTATACAGGAGGTCGTGGGTTCGATCCAGAGCCTGACGCCTGCTGCTGTATATTTGGAGTTTGTGTGTCTCTCTCTCTCATCATCATCACGGTGACTAGGAGATGTTGACTACCTCGCCTGCTGTATACAGGAGGTCGTGGGTTCGATCCAGAGCCTGACGCCTGCTGCTGTATATTTGGAGTTTGTGTGTCTATTTCTCATCATCATCACGGTCGCTGGCGAGATGTTAGATACCTCGCCTGGTATACAGGAGGTGGTGGGTTTAATCCTGACTCTGCTGTGTATTTGTAATTTGCGGTGTCCCTTTCTCTCCCCGTGGTCGCGTGGATTTTTCTCCGGTTCCTCCGGGTTCTTCCCTCCACATTTAGAATCGACGTCACGCATCTCGAGTATTTGGCCGCCGATATATGTCCACGTGATGATACGCCACTTCGTTGAGCTATCATCTGTGATCGCCTGCAGGTCGCTTCTGAAAAACAGTTCAGTGGGGACTTACCTGGTCAAATAAAAACAAAGTTTTACGCTCGTTCCTCGCCAGAACCATGTGGCCGTTTCGGTCACAGTTTGGCAGAGTCATGGACCCCTCCTCTGGAGCAAAGGGCATCACTGCCTGCGCACACGGCAGCTACGTCACTGGAGGAGGCCTTCCCTGTGTTGTTGCTACACGCTGGCCACGAGAGACTGGGAGAGAGCGAGACTCGACGAGACTCGATGTCACTGGAAGTCCTCCACTCCGCGTGGGTCTCATTCTGGGCATTTTTTGGCGGTTGACAGCACTGAACGTACGGATGTGAAAAGAAGGGCACGGTGCCTGGTGAGGCGGGTCCGTGCGTGGTGCAAAGAAGCAAGTACGTTTTCACTTACCAACGACACGTTTGGATGAATTCCAAAAAGCGAAGAAAAACCCCTCTGATATAAAAAAGAAAGTTGTCAAGTGAAGAATTCGGGCATATACCCTTCGGGAAAGATAACTCAAAGTGCACGCAGGCGGTGCGTGCGTCATCTGAATCCACGTGCATCGAACACTCGGCGGCGGTGGTAACTGCCGTCACTATCAACCCCCGGGGTGACACATACATCGCAGGCACCGCATGTTTAAGCATTCACTTGATAACCCCAATTGTGAAGCCCTCCTGCCCACCGATCTGTCGCGTTAGCAACCCAGCCCAGCAATTCAACCAACTCACAACCCCACAGAACCTCTTATCCATCAACCTATCAACCACAACAACAAAAAATAATCACCCTCTCAAACTGTCACCTCACCAACCAATCAACCAACCAACCAATGAATCCACAGAACTACCCAATCAATCAGTTGGCAAACCCAGAGGGTGCTCGATTTAACAAAAAAAACTGCCTCCAAGAATTTGCGTCTGCAAGTCAGTCACGACGCATGGATACTCGCCACCACAATAAACACGGGCACTTGCAAAAGCACAACGACAATACAACGAAGAGCAAAAACTCCCCCGTGTCGGCGCGCAGCACCTGTGAAGGCCGGCACGGCACACGAGGGGTGAGTGGCCAGCACCACGGCCGACCGCCTTTGTCTCCCCAGTGACGATGTCTACACACCGCACCAGGCACTCTTTTCCTTTAGGGACGTGCGGTCAGGGGAGGCAGGGGAGGCTGAGCCTCGCCTGTCATACTCCAATGAAAATAGCTGTTACGAAAAGTAAATAAAATAATCAAATTAAATATATATTAAGATTTTCCCACTGATCTGTGTTATAAATGTCATTTCTATACGATTCCAATAATTTTTATAGTCAAAATCGCCAAATTTGCGGAGCTCCGCTGCAAACACAGGAAGAGACGAGAGGTGAGGCAGCGACGAGCTCAGCCTCCCCTCTGATTGCGCAACCCCTCAGTAACTGGATGGAGAGCTGGAGAGCGGGCAATAAGTGCGTGCCTGTTACTATCTCAGTATGTCACCAATGTAATGTTTGTAGACCCCTTCATTTCAATGTCCTCGCCTTCCATACTCCAAGTAACTTATTTCACGTATGTGTATACAGATATTTAGGCTCGCTGGTCTCGTCATGAAACTGCAATGAAAAAGCACCAGGGGAGGCAGCTATCACATCTGCCTCACTGAGTGAGACGTGTCTAGCACGCCCCCCTCCGTGAGGACACGCCCCCTGAGTGTGTGAATCTGGCTCTGACACGAGCCAGTGCCTCCCCAGCCATTGACCTCACTGCACGTCACTGGTTTCCATTGACCTCACCGCGGGGAATCGGAGGTGCCGAGTCGACCTAGGGGAGACCCAGGACCAGTTCAGATCATCGTTGCCGGTGTTGGCGGCCGTGAGCGGGAATCGTGCTCGGGTCGCCGGGTTCGTAGCGCAGCGTAGCGCTAACCGCTGCACCACCTGCTCCCCGTAAAACAGCACGAACACATTTCCACACGCCCCACAGCAAAGAGACACACACGCAAACACACGCTGAAGTTGTTACTGCGGATGTTGGAACTTGTCCGCGCAAACATGCTCCCATGCGATGTACGTGAACACACCTGCTCTCTGGATTTCTTGTAAAGAACTTAAATAAGTAAATAAATAAATAATGAAGTGATGTGCGTGCAGAAATGTACGAAAAATATTCGCGGGAGACGCGTGCGCAATAGGCGAATTTTGAGTTCCTTTAAAGGGGAATGAATATCAGACATTTGTTAAGTTCACATGAAAGCTTCCACAAAACCGATATTATGGTTCATAACACTGGTCAACAAAAAAAACATTTTTTTCTGGCTTGGACTTTTGCAGCTGTTTTAGACTAATTTCAGGGTGCTGATTCCAAATCTGATCTCAGATTTGCTCTATCACATCTCATTTTTATGCTATCGGCATACCCCATTTTCATTTATTTTACCTGAAATTAACTCTGTCACTTATGATTGCAAGTTGTTGCGAGTCAGTGACTGCTTTAGTGTTAAAATATGGTGCTGTATTTTTAGGATAGTGTGTTTATAATATCATTTTATGTAGATATCCACATTTATTTAATATTTTTCTTCTGCAGTTTTTATTGAAAATGCAATATTTGATATCTCAAAAACCTGATGTGATAGACAAAAACTGATGCCAAATTTGGAATCAGCACCCCAAAATTACCTTAAAACCGTTGGAATACCTTATGCCAGAAAAAGTGTGTTGAGCAGTGTAATTGGTTTGGATTCGGTTAGGATGTGATCTCGAGATCTGAGCTCCTGTTAACAAGCGGGTGATGCTACGAAACGTCGCACCAATTAAAACATTGTGAACTCGCTCTCCAACAACAACAATGCTGGTGTTGATGAAGCAGTCACACATTTAATGTCTGATTCACGTGACGCTTTCGTGCCGCGTGGAGGAGGGTTTTCTACACACATTTTTTTCTCACGCCACCTCACCCAAATGAAGCACATTGCGAATTATCGGACATTTGAGTTGCGTGTCAGAGCACGAAGCGTTCAAGTTGACACACCAAACACGCCACTACCATATTCGGGCTCGACTCTGCATCCTTTCTCAACTCCAGCCAATGATCGATCCACGGGATTCGAGCGGCTTGATCATGGTCACTGAGACGGTGGCCTGGGGCAGATCATTTTGTTATCATCAGAATCTTTATTGATCCTGAAGGAGGAATCCGATGAGCTTTAAGCTCTTTTTCACAGATGTCCAGTAGGGGCGGGTCAGAACGTAACAACAAACAGTACACAAACTCGGTCGGAGTGTAAAGTATAGGAAAGGTCAACAAATCCTTTTAAAATATATACAAATAAAACTAAACATTTTTTTTATATCTTACCAGGTAAGGCCCACTGAGCTATTAGCTTCTGTTTCAAAAGTAACCTGGCCACAAATGATAGCTCAACGAAGTGGCTTATCATCACGTGGAAGTTTATAGCAGCAAAATTATCTAAATAATCTCGACGGATGTTTCTAAATGTGGAAGGGGAAAATCGGAGGAGCCGGAAAAAAAATCCACGCGACCACGGAGAGAGAGACACCGCATACTGCAAATATAGAGCAGGCGTCAGGGTCGGAATGGAACCCCCGACCTCCTGTATACCAGGCGAGGTAGTTAACATATCATAGCCACCGTGATGATAATGAGCGAGAGAGAGAGACACACACAAACTCCAAATATACAGCAGGCCTCAGGGTCAGGCCTCACGGCCGACGGTCAACAATAATGAGTGAGTGGCATCCGAGGAATGGGAAGCGTCTGAGAGGAGACGGATCTATTAAATAATCTCGTGTGCAGAGCGGGTTGCCGTGTGGACGACTCGATCACAGTATCTGTGGGAGATGGTAACGGCTTGGGTGAAGAAGCCTTTGTCCAGCGGTGGAGTCAGTCGCGATTTCTGTGAAAAAATGTGTTTTTTAATCGCACGGTGGCTTTAACTTCACGTAAAGGAAAGCATCCTCTCCGTCATTGGGACGAAGGGTTATCGGAGTGCGGATGTGCGCGCGTCGATGCACAGAACTGCCACCAGCGTGTCCCAGAGCCACGAGGCGTCTGGCTTGACTCTGGTCGTACTTCTGAGGCTCATGTTAGCAACATTCTTCAGCCTCATCAAAGCAAACATTCTTCGGTCACCTTATGTCTATTTGCGTAGCATAGCCGAGTACCACGCTCACGCGAAACTATTTGTTTTATCCATAATAGAGCGTTTTTTGGGGTTAGATCGCCTAAATGTAATATATATTAAACTCGAAAGCCTACGGGATAAATCAAACTGTGTTTTATTTTACCAGGTAATGCCCACTGAACTACGTAGCTCAACGAAGTGGC